CACCAATACTATAAGCAATAAGCGGTATCTAGCAACACATTATTGCCCCCAGATTATAAGTTAAGACGTTTGCACCGTCAAAACCTTTCCACGACTCAGACTCCGTGTAACTGTATCCCTTTGTCTCAATGTCTAAACTTAATGCAAGGGATTAATAAAATCCAACTTGTATCCATTAAGTCATTCACTGATTTATCAAGTCTGACTAATAGGAACACACGTCATAAAAACATCTCAGCATGGTCATGCAGTTACCTCAGTCATGACTTATCAGTGGGCCCATAAGACATTAATCTCTTAAAAAGAGTAGTGACAAATCCTATGTACATAATCTACGTTTCTTAATACGCGCTGCGGCATACCCAAAACAAAGCCTGTATACCATCCTTATTTCAAATGGCTTAGGACAATGCATCAAAGCATGCGGGTTCACATATGCAGAAAACGTAACACTTCAAGTCGAAGGATAGTTACACCCGTGGTCGTGCTAAAGATGCTTAGAGCATGAACTAAAAATTCAAGCAACATCTTTAGGATGGGTCAGTCCGGCATCCTATTATCTCCAGATAATATCTGCCCATGTGCGGATGCGAACACACCGTCATTGACTATGAGACTAAGTCAAACATCCAACACACACTAGTCTCACATGCATTAACGATATCCCACTCTCGTTAATACTCGACTATGGACATTCAGATAAATATTTATTTCAAGATGTTAGTTTCATCAGCAGAAAAATACTATCTGATAAACATCTTTAAATATAAATATAGGAATATAATATTTGTTTACATTAGCATGAGATGTGTAAACATATTATATCTGCCTATTCATGATAGAATAACGATAAACAGTTGGCCATCAGGGCACAACTCCAACAATCTCCCACTTGCACTATGGCCAATCTGGCATCGGTCGAATGCCCATGGACTTAGTGTGACCCTCATGCTTTAGCTTTCCTAAAGGCTTGGTCAAAGGATCAGCTATGTTGTCGTCAGTATCTAC